TAGGCTGAGTGACCACAACTAAGTCACTTAACCACTCAGTGCCTCCAGGGAACTATTAAGACCGAGCTGTTGATCTGCACAGGAAAAAGAGTTTCTATCACCAAGGAAATCACATCTGGACCCCGTCCTCCTCCCCAAGGACCTTTCAGTGTTCTTTCCACCTTCAGTATGAAGAAAGATGACTAACCAAGCCTTTCAAGGTGCAACACCATAAGCATAAGCACTAGAAAAAAAAAGATCCATGGGGAAATGTTTGAAGCCATAATATCATATATGTTCAGAAGTTAGGAAGGTAGAAGAGAAAGATAGCTGGGCATCCTCAAAAGAGTGGCCTGCCTGGGTTTTCCCATGACACAGCATATCCAAGGTCTCTTTAACGATACATCAATGCCTCATGTTTATTTATTTTGATCCTTTGTCCTTGACTCAAAGAAAATGGCTCAGATTTCACACACCCAAAAAGTAGAGTAAGTACCACAGTGCAAATCCATCTTAGAAAGAAATTCACACATGGAATGTGAGGGCCAGAAGAGTCCTTGGAGATCACTTAGTCTGAGCCTCACCACCCCCGCCACCCCCCCACCCCAGTTTATGAGGTTCAGTGATAGGAACTGATTTGCCCAAGGTCAAATACAGAGTAGGGAGCAGATCAAAACCTCTTCTACTACACTTCTGGGAAGTAAATAATTGAGAGCCATAGATTGCCAACACTTCCTCGGACACCATCTAATTCAGGGGTTCTTAACTTGAGGTCCAGGAGCTTGTTTTTTTAAAATACTCTGACCATTGTTTTAGTTTCTTCATAATCCTATATATTTTATTTTGTTCGTTTAAAACCATTATTCTGAGACGGGGTCCAGAGGCTTCACTAGACTGCCAAAAGGGGTCTTCAAAACAAAAAAAAGGCTGAAACTCCTGCTCTAGTCCTTTCCCCTCATTTAAGAGCTGAGGAAGCTGAAGCCCACGGAGCTGAAGGGATTTGCTAAGGGTCACACAAGCAAGTCTGGTAGCAGAGCCACTACTAGAATCTGGGCCTCCCAGCAGCTCATCCTATTCTCCTTCCATCATACCATGCTGCCAGACACTTTCTAGTGTGTTCAGCTCCACCAGCACTATTGTCAGAGAAGAGCAGATTGTTACCAACTGTTAAAGCCTGACTAATACCAAGTATAAAATACTTGATGCTACCCATTCTAAAAAAAGGAACCATCCCAGTCACCTTCCATCCTCTTCTCTGTCTTCTCTTTGGTCCAAGGTACCTAAGCATGGATCTATCCAAAACCCACTTGAGGAAGAAGCAGGGCCCGACCAGTACTAAGAGCTAGCATTTACACAGTGATTTAAGGTTTATAAAGAGCTCTCCTCCCTTAAGCAGGCTGGGCAAATCCTCCTGATGTCCGGCTACTGGGCAGAGTATGGGAGGGAAAGGGGGGGAGTTAAATACAAACTATTGCTCTCTCCCACCTCCTTCTTCCTATTAGGGTTGTGGAAAAAAGTGGAATGGTCTATCTCAGGACATAAAGGGTTTCTCACCACTGACATTCTTTAAGTAGAGACTAAATGGGCCACTTGTTGGGGACCGTTGTAGAGGGATTTCCTATGTATTTAAAGGCTGATCCTGGTGGTCAAAGAGGTCCCTTTCAACTATGAGGTTTTGTGATTTTCCTCCTAGATGTCCACAGAACCATCAATGAAAGCATTAGACTATTAGAGCAGTAAGAAGTTATACAGGAAACTGGGAGGGTCAGCATCTCTAGCAGCACTATTAAACTGTAGGTTGTGACCCCTATAAGGGGGTCGAGAGTGGAAAAAGTTTAAGAAGTCCTGCAAGGCATGCAGTTGTGGCTGGGGCCCTGAATAGCTGAACCAGCAACTTGCCCACATGTGAAGGGGCAAATGTGGTACAGTGAAAAGACATACGACACTGAAGTCAGCAAGTCTGTTTAATTCCTTCTTCTGACACATACCACAACTGTGACTTTAACCTCCTGGGGCCTCAGTTTCCTCATCTGTAAAATAAGGGGGTTGGACTAAATGACCTTTGAGGTCCCTTCCAGTCTTATGTCTCTGATCTTATGAAAAAAGGACAGGTATCTCCTCTTAGCATCAATCAATAAGCATTTATTGTGCCAGGTTCTAGGGACACAAAGACAGAAAAGAAACATTTCCTGCCTTCAAGAAGTTTATATTCTATTATGGAAAAAAACCCCTATATATATAGATATATACACACACATATATACATATATACACACACACATATATATATTTCACACATGTTATGCTTTAAGGTTTACAAAAGGCTTTGCATACATTTTCTCACTCAGTATTATCCCCATTTTACAGATTAAGGGGAAGGGTGGTTAAGTGAATTACCTAGGAAACCTCTAGTCAGCCTCTGAGGCTCTGACTGCAAATTCTGGGCTCTATCCACCATGCCACCAAGTGGCCTCAATACTGGGTAATGGTGAACTAGGGGGTGAAAAGAGAGGCAAGGCCTCATGTACAGAAAAGTGGTATGAAATGTTCGGTAAAAATACTACCATAAACTCTGTATTTCTGTAAAGTGAATACATTTCCTTTGGGCTAATAAAGATCTGTGTGTTTGAGTTTTTATTTTGAATGGGGACTAATGTTTCTGATTAACAACAAAATGTTAGCCTCCTGAAGTATTCTCCCCTAGAGTAATAACTTCAGGTAGAGGCACAGCTGATGTTGCATCTGGCCAGAAGGAAAGTTACATTTGTAAATTGAGGAGCAACCAGGGAGCCCTGGAATAGGGCACGAACATTCTTACAGACAGACCATAAGTCCAGCTATAGTCCGTGGCAGATTTCAATTTCATTTTTTTTACAGTTGTTTTTCTAGCCTTCTAATATGATGTGTATACATGCATCCATTTATTACATATATTATGTCACATAAATCAACTCTTTATATCAGTTCTACTCAACCAAATGGAGAGTCCCTGAAACCAATTTTCAATATTAAATATGCCACTTTACAAGTTATTTATTCCAGCTGGTTGTCATTCAGTGCTTTGTGGCATTATTGCCCCAGGACAGGACTGCTCCAACGGATTTCCTTTACAAACATAAAGTTACTTTTGGGCTCAAATCAGGAAAGAGATCTCACCCTCTACTGTTCTACACATTTCAATGCTTAACTTATTACTGTTTTCGGTGGGAGGAGGAGGTTCACTACCTACAAGATGCTCAGGAGCTAGCGACCTGAGGGACTGGATAAGAAACAGCAAACAAAGAAGGGAATGGCAAAATGACCTCTGGGGCCAGAGAGGCACTGGGGTGGGGGTGGAGGGACGACTATTGGGATTAAAACCTGGCCTGACACCTTTTAAAAGAGGGCCTCAGCAATAGGCTAGATTCTTTGGTTTCCCCCCCGCTTCCCCCCAAAAAAGGAAAAAGCACACAAAAGGCCTGACTACTACCAGGCAAAAAAATACTTGATGAAACCCATTCTAAAAAAGGAACCAGTAAAGAAAGAGCTGAGGGCAGAGACCCCCCACACGGCTTTGAAGTCAATCAATCCAGCAAATCACAACTTTTCTTCCTGAGAAGCAAGTTTTCTTCCCCGACTAGAAAACAAGCCTTCTCCTTTCAGACTTCAGTCACTGACAATTAAAGGCACGAAAAAAACCCATAAAATAAAGAAAAGGGGTGGGGTGGGGTGGGGTATACATGTGATTTTGTTGTTTAAAACTTTCTGCTCGTCTTCTGCAAAGCGGCTAGAAAGGGAGGTTTGCAAAGCTGATAAAACAAGTCTTTGGAAAGCAGCAAAGGAGTTAGTAATAGCAACTTAGACTACCTTTTGTGAGGGGCACTTTTTAAAAGCACCAGCTGTAGTTGGGGGGCGGGAATTGTGGGGAGGGAGTTATAAAGTTCAACGTGGGGAGTGGGGAAGAAACAAGAGTCTGGATAGGGGCAACTTAAGTCTCTCCCACCCCCCTCCCACAGGCACTACAAGCCTCTTCCTCTACTACTACATACACACCCCTCGCTGGGTGCCACCTGAGTTGGAAACAGTGACAGGGTCCACTGACCATTTATCTGTTGCTGTGGCTTCCTCTCCCCCCCCATCTCCCTGCTGCTACAACCCACCGCGTCATGCATGATTCTTGCCACCACATTACGACAAACCGTCACAGGGAAAGGGGAAAAAAGGGAAAAACACATACATACACACACACACACACACACACACACACACACACACACACAGAAGCGTGCAACCTATTTAACTATTAAAAACACACACACACACACACACACACACACGCGCGCAGATCGGGTCAAGTCCCCACCAAGCCTCGCTCGCTGCACAAAAGACCCGCAGTTTCCCCAGGACTCGGGAATGGGGGGAGGGGGGAAGAGACGGCCGCGGCAGGAATGAATAAATAAATAAATAAATAAAGCCAGCCAGCAAGAGTCGCGTCTACGTAACGCCCTGTCGAAAGCGGACGCCATATTTTTTTGTGGCTTATGTCGACATAGGGAAACGTAGACATGTTTTTTCTCCCCCCCTTCCTCCTCCTCCTTTCCCCCCATTACCCAAAACTTGTCGTTAAGATTTGGAGAAAGAAAAAAAAATATGCACCCCACCCCACGCTAGGTCTTGCTCCTAAAATTAATAATAATAAAAATTTGAAAAGCCAAACCCTCCTCCTCCCTTTTCCTTCTGCTCCCCCCCTCCCTTTTTTCAAAAAGCCGGGCAAGTGCTATTAACAAAACATTTTAAGGAGCTGCCGCCGCCGCCGCCGCTGCCGCTGCTGCCACCGCCGGTGGGAAAGTTGGGTCGGAGTCGCCGGCGATCGGAGGTGCTCCCGGTGCAGCGAGCAGTTAGAAGTGTGCGAGATTTCAGCGCCGGGGAGGAAAGGAGGAAAGAGGAGGAGGAGGAGGAAGAAGGAGGAGGAGGGAGAGGGAGGGGGAGGGGGGGGCGCCGCTCGGCCGCCGCGAGGGGAAGCGAGGGGGGAAGTTTCTTACCTTGCACCGGGGCTTTGGAACGCGGAGACACGGGTTTGGAACGCGGAGACACTGCGCGAACGTTCCAAAATGGAACTCTGGCTGTTTCTACACCCCCCCCCCAATCACCACCAGCACCACCACCACCACCACCAGCCACCCCCCTCCACACACACACACACACACACACTCACACACACACACACCCACCGGTCCCCCACTCCGCACCGTGGAACCGGATCCGATTCTGTGGTTTAAAATGATACTAATTAATAAGAATAGCCTAAACGAGAAGACGGTGGCAACCCCCCCCAAAAAAAAGGGAAAAAAAAGGGGGGATAAAAAAAATCCCTCGATCAGTGGGGAATCTACGCCAAAACCCACATGATCTCTAACGTCAGCATGCGTATTTGCATACGATACCACCACCAGCTCTTCCACCCGGGTCTCGTATTCCGCGGAAAGTTGCAAACTGAAATTCTTACCCTTCTAGAGACGCTTCGCAAACATTTTTTTAAAGGAGGGAAAGAAATACCCCTAAACGCGCGCTGTTTATTTGCAATTAGAGGGAGGGGGTGGTGTGAAGGGAGGGGAGGAGGGAAATTAACTTAAAAGTGTGATCTCAGTAACGGACCCGGTGGAATTTCTGCGAGAAGTGTGGAGCGAGATCATTGAATATTAAGTACGGCTCGGGTGGTGGTGCATCCCCGCAACCGGACAGTGCGCGTCTTGTAAGGGAAATGCCCCTTTTCTTTATGAAAAGTTCAAGGTGTCACTGATGAGCTCGGCAAACTGTTGATCCTGACCACGTGGAGTAGAGATAGAGGAACCGGTGAGAAGGAGGGAAGAGGCAAAAGCTGAGTTGCAGGAAGGATGCAGCTACTGGAGCAGCTGCTGTCGCCGCCTCATAGATCTTTCCTTTTGGGATCGAAACCGCCTCAGACCCTGGACTGGCTGGTTGGGGAAGGGGTGTAGAAGGCAGTTAAATCCGTTTGCTTGTGCCCAGGGCTCCCTCCGCTTTGTGCTGCGGCTATAAAGAAGAGGAAAGGGAGAAAAAAAAAACAAACAGGCGAGACATTTCACGTTTGCAACTGTTGACGGGGGCTGAGGGAGAGGGAGGGGAGACTGGGAACTCGGTTACATAACTATCCTTCAAAATTAGGTCACGTTAACCTGGGAGTTTAACGGGGTTTCCTTTCTCCATCTGCATTCCTGATGCCGATTGAAGATCTTCGCCTTTCAACTTTTTAAAAAATGAGAATTCTGCTCTTTATTGAAGGTGAGACTTCGTGAGCTTCAGGAAATGCATATTTCTGTAGCGATAGAAAAATCCTTTCTATGTGAGAAAGTAAAATTTAGAGTTGAATACTTTTACATTCACCGTCTGCTCTCCCTCTAACAGAAACTTTAGAGGATTAGCCCCCAGACTTCTGTCCAGAGGTAGCTTTAATTAAAGTGATCCAGAGAGGAAAGCTCAGATTGTTATCTTCTCACTAGCCGCTCTTGGCATGTAAGATACTGACCAGCGGCTCCTAGGATGACCAAAAAGAGGGGCATTCTTATTACAGCTCCAGGGCTAGTCCTTGGGTCCAACTGGGGAAAGGAGGCTTTCAAATTCCTCCTCTGTTGAGACCAGAGTGATTTGCCAGATTATCCCATGGAGAGGGAGGGTGGAGGTAGGGGTGGCATTTTCCCTGGACAAATAGATGAAAAGATAAAAATTCAAACTTTAGCACTTTATCCCTGGATGGATTTAGGGATGAGCAATGTATGAGTGACTTGAAGAAACAGAAATAGACAAACTTCTCAACATGTAATTAATTACATTGAAATCTTCAAAATCTGTTAACATGCATATAGAGAATGCACCCCCCCCCACTTCCCCTCCTCCCCTTGCATTAATTCCAATAGGCTTTAGAACAAGACTTTTTAACCTTTGTGTGTGTGTGTGTGTGTGTGGCATAGACCTCATTGGCAATCGGGTGAAGCCTATGGACCTCTTCTCAGAATGATGTTCTTAAATGCATAAAATAAAATACGGAACATTACAAAGGAAACCAGTGTATGGAAATACAGTCATCAAAACATTTAAAAAGCAAGTTTGAGGGACCTCAAGTTTCAAGCTACTCTCCAGACTTGGTGGCCAAGTGATTAAAAGACTTTAGGGATTAACAAGTCTGGATCCCTCATTTTGCAGATCAGGAGAACAGGCCCAGGATGAGGAAGTGACTTACCTGGGGTCACATAGGTAGTGAGTAGCAAAGTTATGATTTGAAATTACATTCTAGTGCCAGGTTGTGGGCATAGTGACAGATGAGGTAGTATTTATTAGAAGCAGTCTTAATAAACTGAACGTAGTATAATCAATAATAATTCATATTTGTATAGTTGTACATCACAAGTACAAAAATCATTCACGTTACAGTATCTTATTTTAGCCTCACAAACAACCTTTGAGGTAGGCAGTGGATATATTATAGCCATTTTGCATAGAACAAAACTAAGGCCACAGAAAAACAATGATCCATGCACCTAATATCACTTAGTTAAGAGTGTTAGAGATTGGACTTGAATGTGGGTGTCCTAAATCCAAGTTCAATGTTATTTTCATCAAAGCAACTAAACTCAGTACTATTGTCCTTAGGGAGCCTGAACAGTAATTGAGTAGTCTCTTTGTCACCCCCTAGTCTGGGGCATTCAAAATAATGTTAGTTATAGGGTGGGGGGAGGAGGGAGCTAAGGGTGGACATATGATTAGTAAACTGAGTGCTGTGGTTCTGTTATTAGTTCTGGCTCTGTTACTAGGCAGCTGGGTGACCTTGCCCAAATCAATTAACCTCTCTGGACCTCAGTTCTCTCATCTGTAAAATGAGAGGTTTAAAATCAGAGAATTTTAAACTCTAGACATTCTCAATTTTGAAGTGTAAATCCATTCTTGTTACCAAAATGTAATAGGTCACTTGAGATCTGGTTTGCAATGGAAAGCTCACTTCTCCAGGAGTGAGGAGATCTGGGCTCTAGTCCCAGATCTTAGCTGTGTGGTGCTGGGCAAATTATTTCATTTCTCAGAGCCCCTGTTTTCTGAATTGGTAAAATGATGGTAGTATTTCCTACCTCAGGGGGTTATGAGAGTGAAATGAGAAAGCATCTTGTAAACTTAGGATCTTAATATCAGTACAAGGTATTTTTATCATTATCTTCCTCCTCATATCAACATAGATTATTTTCAGATTTGTTGAGGCTATCTTCCTGGGCACTCAGACCTTTAACTCTCATCTCTCCAACAACCCTACTTTCTGCATCCAATCAGTTGTTAAAATCTTGTTGATTCTGCCTCCCAACATCTCTCATATCCATCTCCTTCAGCCTATTCAGACAGCACAACCCTAGATCAGGCTCTCTTCCAAATTATTGTAATAGACTCCTATATGATCTCTTTACTTTGTGGCTTTTTCTTCTCCCATCCATTCCCCAAACCTCTTAGAAAAGAATCATCCTTAGGTACAGGTCAAACAATTATTCCCTCACTCAAAAGCCTTCAGTGGTTTCCTGTTGTCTCCCCTCAACTAAAAGTGTTCTCAGCATCTGCAAATTTTCCTAGGGCACTTTGTATCTCTCCTTAGCTCCAACATTAATCTATTTTGTATCATATTTATCAGTGTACACGCCTGTATTTTAGGAGAGTAAGCTCTTTGAAGTCAGGCACTGAGTAAATTTTCCTCTTCATATCCCCAGTGCCTAGCACACAAAGAACATTTATCAAATGTTGAATGATCTAAAATATTCTTTCTGGCCTCCTTTTTTTTTTTCCTCCTAGCCCCAGCACATTAAACAAAATCCTAGATATGCAAAAATAGTATAAACATAGAGTGTAGTGCCAGGTAAGGAAGAAATTTCTTAACTCTCAGGAATGTCCAAAATTGGAATGGGCTGTCCTAGGAGGTAGTGAGTTCTTTCTCATTGAAGGTTTTGGGTGAGGGAGGGGAAGCTAGATGCTCCTTTGTCTGGTTGTTGTAGATAGTTTCCGTTGAGGTAGGGGGTTGGTCTTGTTGACCAATTAGTTGCCTTCCAGTTCTAAGATTCTAAGATTGCTGTGCCTGTCTCAAGACTCTCACTACTTCTAATCCCCCTCCAAGCAGACCAAAGGCATGTCTGGCCATTGTCACATCCTTGATCCACAGCTTTGAGGGACTCTCTATTACTCCTAGGATCAAATATAAACTGCTTTGATTGGCATTTAATGCCCTTCACAACCTGGCTCCAACTTAGTTTTCAAGTCTTATTATACATTAGTGCTTATTACATACTCTTCTGTCTACCAAATTGTGCTATAAAAGGCCCAGTCAAGAGCTCTGGGTTCTGCCACTTCCTAGCTATGTAAACATGAGCTCTCATCATATCCATAAAGTGCTTTAAAATGTCCAAAGCACTTAAAGCCTCACAAGAATCTTATGGGATGGGTAGTACAAATATCATTATTAACACTATTACCATTTTAAAGATGAAAAAACTGAGGCACAAAGAAGTTAAGGGTCATCCAATTAGTAAGTTCCTAAGACAGGATTTGGATTGAGTTCTTCCGACTTAAAGATCATTGCTTTTTCCACTATACCAGTGGTTCTCAAAGTGTAGATCCTAGGGCCCTCCGAGACTTTTCCAGGGGTCCTTGAGTTAAAAACTTTTCATAACAATACTAAGGTATTTTTATTACTAATATGGCAAATATTGATAGTTATAACCTACATAAACAAAAACTCTTTGGAAGGGCCTTTAATAATTTTAAGAGTGGAAAGGGATCCTGAGACCAAAAAGTTTGAAAACCACTTTGCTACACTAGTTCTGTCTCCCTTTTGCTATTAGGTAGTGGTGTACTATGGAGGACTGTCCAGTGAGGAAGCTGGTTGGGTGGATGGTCAGACTACCTGGTGGGAGAAGGTGTGTGCCTTATATGTAGATAGTTCTTGCCCAAGATATCTTAGTGCCTTTCAAAGAAATAATTTAAAATATTGGTATTGTGTATGGAGTTACTGAAAATACTGATAGACATCAGATTTTTAAAAATGTGTTCCAGAAATATTTATTGAGCATCCTCTACATGTTCGGAGCTATGTTAGGGGATATAGGAGACAGC